GGTCATTTATCAAACACTCGGCCGGGGTGGGGGCTGGGCAGTAAGGGGATGCGAAGGTGAATTTCAAGTCCTCTCTGCAGCTCCCTTTACAAAGCCTGCAAGGACTGAAGCTCAAGCCCTGTTTACAAAACTCCCAGACCCCTGTACCGCGAGCGCCGCACACCCCAGCATCGGAGCGGTGTCCTCCTCTGCACGCTGGTGTTCTGGATTGGGCGCACTTTTATGTTTTTATTTTGGGGGGTGTTGAGACAAGGTCTCACTAGGAAGCCAGGGCTGGCCTCTGGATGGCAGTAATCCTCCTGCTTCAGCCTCCCAAGTACTGGGATGACCAGCAGGCACTACTGTGCCCACTTGAGCATGTTTTTTAAGTAGGCAAAGTAACAAGTAATCAATCAAATAGTGAAAAGCAGACCTTAACCAGAGCTTCCTCAGATTTCAGATCCTGTAAGGAGGCCCCAGGGAAGAATGAGGCAGTGCTGGGAGCTGCAGCCACTTTCCAGGCTGTCCCATAGGAGCAGCACCAGTGTCATGCCAACCCCCCAGGCACCGTGAGAGCGAGGCCGTGGATGTGGCCTCGCCTCGCAGGAATCCAGCCCCATCTATGCTGGAGAAGCTCTAGTGGGCATCACGGTCAGCACCAGGCAGGGATGCCCCCAAAGGACATTCAGAGGGGACCCAGACAAGGCCATCTTCATCCCAGACAAACCACAGAACCTTCTATGGCCAGGGGTGGTGGTGCACTCTAGGAGGCTGAGGCAAGAGGATCCCAAGTTCCAGCCTATCCTTGACATCTTAGTGACTTAGTGAGACCAAACTTTTTAAAAATAAAAAAAAAAGTGGCCACACTCAAAGCATTGCAAAGTGATGGGACAAGTGCTTCAGCACCGGCAGCAGGTCACCCTCCTTCCCAGGGCACCTTCTGGTCTCCAGCACCCCTACCCCATCCATGTGGGACCAGCCTCAGTAAGCTGGGGCCAGACCGTGTCCGAGAGTGTCAGGGATGCACGTCTAGGGTGATGGCTGGGCACCTGTCATCCCTGAGCCACCACCCCCAGGGCCTCTGGAGAAGCAGCTACCCTGAGTCCTCTCATTTCAGCCCCTGCTCCCGCTGCTGCCCCTAGGACGCCCTCCTCCGCTTATGCCTTGAGGTGTTCCAAGAAAATCCCCACTTCTGAACAATCCTCATCCCAAGCTGGCATCTAGGATGAGGTCTTCAAGCAACCGTGCCAACAGGTGCCTATCACTGGGCCAACTGTCAGGGACCACAGAGGCACATGGTGAGGACGAGGAATCACCTCCACACCCCCAAAACATCCAGGATCTCACAGCACCAATGCGCTTGCCCCAGCCAAGCTAAGAATATGCTGTTAGTTCTGTGTTTTCATGCCTGGCCTCGAACCCAGGCAGAACCCTCACACTGAGCTGCATCCCCATGGCCTCCCTTCATTCTATTTATTTCCAGACAGGATCTTATTTAGTTGCCTAGGTGGGGTTCAAATCAGGGATCCTCCTGCCTCAGCCTCCCAGGCGTGCCTGGCTAGCTCTTGAACAAATACTGACCCCAGCCCTAAGAAACAGCCTCCAAAACAGGAGCCAAGAGGAGCCAGCAAGATGCTTATCTGGAAAACTTGGAGCCTTCCGATCAGCCCCATGGCCCTGCCCCCCAAGGCAGTCTGCAGCTGGCCCAGTCTTACCCATGACCACGCTGAGTCCAGTGGCCCCTTGCCTTGTGGGGCATCCCAGTTGGAGCTGCAGACGCTGTCCTGCTCTGCCATGGCCGGCCCGGGGTGCTGCCGCTCCCTCTCCCAGAAGAGAGCCGTCCTCTCCCTCTCAGCAACACCAACTCGGTAGCCCAGGGCGTGCACTTCCTCCCCCGTACACCAAGTGGCGCATGGCCAGGTCACAAGGCCGGCGGAGAGCAGGGTGTTGGGTTGCCTGTCCTCTCCCACCTGGGTGCTGCTGGCAAGCTGTGCCGGCAACCAGGTGCCAGGGCACCGGCCCTGTCCAAGTGGTGCAGGGCAGCAGGACGGGGTCGCACCCCAGCATCTGGAGCCCGTAGGGAGAGACTTGGATCCTGAGTGTCTGCACTCCCAGGGCCGTGGGGCTCTGAGAAAGAATTGGGATTCAGATCGGGGCAACGTTGTGGCACGCACCTACAATCCCAGCACTCGGAGGCTGGAGGCAGAAGAGTCACAAGTTCAAGACCACCTGGGCATCTCAGGGACTTAATGAGATCCTGTTTCAAAATATAAACAAAAAGCACTGGAGATGTAGCGCAGTGCAAAAGCCCTGGGTTAATCCCAGTGCCCCACCCCCACCCCAAGATGTCCTCAGAGCTCACTGGGGAGTGAGACGAGGCTGGGGAAAGGAGCCAGCTCAGCAAAGGACATTGTGTGCTGGAAGCTACTGTTGTGTGATGAGCCCAGCGTCCCAGCTTGACTTCCCCTGTGCTGGTGTGGAAGGCAGGACCAGGAAGGAAGCCCCTTCCACCCCCGCCTTGCTCAGGCTGGCGCCTCCCTCGCCCTGTCCCAGCGCAGCAGCGCAGCCACCGCCTGATGCCCTGAAAGGTCCTCCCGGGGGCAAATGCCACCCTTCAGGCCTCGTCCACCACACTGAGCCAGTAGCCACCCCCTTGCTATTTTTAATCCACCCTGCTGAGACATTTTAAAAAGGTCATGACCACGGAGCGATAAGACGGTGAGGAGTCGTGACTGCTGACGCGCAGCACTGGCCGAGGGCCGGACAGGCAGCCATCACTGGGACAGCGTGGCCACAGTTCCCCCCCAGGAAGCTGCATCTGCACAGTTGCAGCTCCGCCGCAGCGCTCAGAGCCCAGAGCGCAGAGCAGGGCCGTCTCGCAGCCGGCCGGCGTCCATGTGTCTGTGAAGACACCGGCAGGCAGGGCAGCAGGTGTCCAGCTGCCGTGACAGGCGAGGGAGGGCCCGTCCCGGTGGGGACGATGTGCCAGCGCTGGGCAGTGACCTCGATGGGGCTCTAGTCTGTGCCCCTGGCCAGAAGCCAGGCCTGGGCTTGGATGTCCTCTGCGGCTCCGCCCAGGGATGATTCGGTGATGCAGAGCAGCTCACTGTTTCCAAGAGCCCGGGTCCCCTGCCCTGGGAAAGCAAGCCACACTCAGCCATCCTCTGTCACAAGAGCTGCTGGCAAAAGCTGCCTCCCACTCTACAGGCTGCCTTCGCTCTGGTTCTTTCTCTTTGGTGTATATTTATTTATTTTGCTATAGTCCTATTTGCTGATTCTTGCTATTATTTCCTAGGCTATTGGAGTCCAATTTAGGAAGTTTTTGCCTGTAATTTTTGTAAAATAAATTTTTGCTGTATAGTCAAGCCTGGCCTTATGCTCACAGCAATCCTCCTGCCTCTGCCTCCTGAGTGCCAGACTCTGCCTGTGATTATGATTTCAGGTTTGTGGCACAGAATGTGTGCACTCACTGTGGGGAATTAGTTCATATACACATCATATCCTGATTGCTTTTACTTGCCCTTTTCCTCCTCTCCCTCCAACGTCCTCTCCCATTCCCAAGTCCCCTTTGCACCTCCACCAAACAATCTATCTCTTTTTTATCCTCTATATTTTGTTTTGCTCTTTAATTTCTTTACCTATACTTTGGATTTCCCGTATGTTATGGCTCATGTCCTGGTGTCTCTCCAAAGCCTCAAGGAGTCATGCAGCTTTGTCAGAGGTAGCTGCGTCCCGGGTGTGTGATGCTGGGATGGATTCACAGTGCGATGCTAGGCTCAAGGGCACTAGGATTAAGGGTATGAATGCTGCCCACCATGAGTAACCTGGATAAGATGTAAGGGACAGAAAGAGCTGGGGTCAGCCCTTGCTTGCTTGCTTTGCTACCTTCTGCCCACCACAGTTTTTCCTCTTCAATGCCTACCACCCTGCCTTGAAGCCAGCCCATTATGAACTGAAACCTCTACCATCTGTAAGCTAAATAAACCTTTGGGTGTTGGGCATTTTGTCTCAGCAATGAAAAAAGTAACTAAGACACCATAGAAGAAAAACCATGTGATATTTAAGCTTCTGCGTCTGATTTATTGTACTTAATATTATGGTCTCAAGGTGCATCTGTTTTCCTACCCATGCCTCAAGTGCATCCTTCTTTATGGCAGCATAGTACTCCATTATGTGTAAACACCACTTTTTTTTTCATTGATTTATCTGTTGATGGACATACAGGCCACTTCCATGATTGAGCTGAAATGATATTTGCATGGGATAACTGGCTAGGGATCTACTTTCTATAAAGTACCAGGCATCCTGGCAATGAGACAGAGACCTCTAAAGGGTCTTCTAGGGTGCAGGGACTCGTGCCTGTAATCCCAGCACTCAGGAGACTGAGGCAAGAGGATTGCCATGAGTTTGAGGACAGCTTGGGCTACAAGGTGAGTTCAAAGCCAATCTAAGCTACACAGACAGACCCTGTCTCAAAAGATCAAATGAATAAATAAATAAATGGTCTTTTAGCTCCAAAGTTCTGGTGACCACTGTGAGCTTAGAAAAACCAGTGAGGCGTCTAGAACAGGCCAAACACACTTCTCTTCGATTCCGGCCAGGGCTGCATTCGAACAGCGCTGTGGTGAGACTGGGCTGCCCTACCAGGGAGGCGGGACGGGCCTGCCTGTGGCGAAGAGTCCCGCAGGCTCCCGGCGCAGCGGCGTGGTGAGGCCCTGGAGCCCGGCAGCCCCAGGAGGCACTGCGGGCCAGGCGGCCGATGCGCTGTCCGCGGTGCTGAAGGCTCCTGGCCGCTCGTCCTGCTGCTGCTGCTGCTGCTGCTGTAGTGCCCCTGCCCTTGGGCTCCACAGCTATGAGCAGGACAGACCTGGGCCTCTGGCGACCTGGGCTGTGGCGCCCAACGCCTGGTGCACGAGCTGTGCCCTCGCTGGCTCTGTGCCTGCCCCTGCTCGCCCACCGCCTCCTGCTGTCCCTGGTCTGGGTCTCCTGTTGGGGCTCGTGCTGCGCTCTGGGGGGGCATCATGGGGCAGAAGCACAAGCGTCGCGCGTGTGCACCCTGTGGTGAGCTGCGCCACGCTGCAGGTCTTCACCCAGGTACCGGAGTGGGGCACAGATCTCCCCATCTGCCTGGGAGGCCCGTGTACAGGGAGCCGTTCAGGCCACCCGGATCCCTCCTTGGATCTCGTGGGCCACACCACACCTTCCCATGCAGCTGCCCATATGCTAAACAGCAAAGATTTTTAGCTTTTAGAAAGGTACAGTTTTGTTTAAAAGTCTAAATATGGCCAGGGTAGTGGTGCACCCTGTAATCCCAACACTCTGAGAGGCTGAGACAGGAGGATATCAAATTTGAGCTTAGCCTGGGCAAGTTGGAGACTTAGCAAGACCCTGTCACACAAATAAGTAAATAAATAAATACCTGGAGATGTGGTTCAGTGTGAAGACCATGAGGTGGCATGTGCTGGCTGCCTGCTAACTGCACAGGAATATGGAGTTTCTTGACATTTTAACCATGGGTGAACTTCCTGACCAAAGAAAGAGTGAAAATGGCTCATGGGGGCTCTGCTCAATTTTTCTCATTTGTCTCCGACACCTGGAGCAGATTCGGATCCAGCGAGTAACAACCTAGCTCTGAGTCCTGGAACCACATATCGGAGTGGGACGTTATCTCTGAGTTTCTGATATGAGACCAGAGCGTGTGCAGCTATAGAGCCACCAGCGTCAGAACTAGTGATCTTCAGCTCCATGAAAAGGGGGAGAGAAACAGCTTAATGGGAGTTTGTGCACACCAGAGGCCTGAACACTCACTGTGACCAGGCATCTCAGGAGGAGTTCAAGTGCCAGCTGTAGCCTCAGCAGGAATAAGGACACAGCTGTGGAGTTAAACCACTCTGCTCGCTCTCCATGGTGCCCCCTTTGGTCCCTGAAAGGAGAATTCCTCTCCACTGGCTGGGCAAGAGCCCCCATTTTATTTTTATACTGTAAGACAGGCTCTCCCTCGATAGCCAGGTTGCCCAAACGGGGGTCAAAGTGAACGGATGTAACCACGGCAACAAACTGGGCAACCTGTGCTCAGAATGCTTGGAAGCCAAGCTCCGCCTCTAACCACAGACTGCAGAAGCGGGTTCCAGGCTGTGCCTGTTTGGGAGTTAGATTTTTCAAAATGCCCGGTAAGATGAAAGTGTTCACAGCTCCCTGGACATGGGCACACTGGCCACCCAGGGAAGCAGGGAGGTGTGTGCAGTAATTGTCAGTGTCACAAAATAATGAGCAGGGCAAGGTGGTGCACTCCTGGAATCCAGCCCTTGGGAGGCTGAGGCAGAAGGATCACCTTAAGGCTCGCCTGGGCTACCTAGTGAGTTTAAGGCCAGCCTCAACTACATAGCAAGACCTTGTCTCAAAAACACAAAAAAAAGTGACAGAGAAACCAGACTCAAAATCTGCTTAGTTTGATCTACCTTCCACCTTTTTCTTTTAATGTTTTACCAATAAGTTGATTCACTACTCTTTTTTTTTTTTTTTTTTTTTTTTTTTTTTTTTTTTTTTTTTTGCTAGTGGTACTGTGTTTGAACCCAGGGCCTTCTCACTGAGCGGCATCCCCAGCCCTTTTTATTTTTTTATTTTGAGGCAGGGTCTTGCTAAGTCACTAAGTTGCCCAGCTGGGCTCTAACTTGAGATCCTCCTGCCTCAGCCTCTCAGAGTGCTGCATGACAGATGTGTGCCATCATACCTGGCCTGTCCAGTTTTTGAAAGTCACTTTGCAAAGGGAAAGGAATAAGAAAGCCTTAGAAGTAAAAAGAAAAAAGCCAAAAAACATACTCTTTGAGCTTCTAAAATTAAACATTTAAAACAAGCTATCACGTAACAAACTTTTATTTTATAATTTTTTAAAAAGTCAAATACAGTACTAAGTCAAAGCCCATGTTTTTGTTACATTCTCATTGCTGGGACAAAATATCCAACTCCTACAAGTTAAAGGAGGAAAAGTTTATTTCAACTCAGTTTGTAGAGGTTTCAGTCCATGGTCAGCTGGCTCCAAGGCAGGGTGGCGTGGCAGAGGAGCATCGCAGAGGAGAAACACTCCATGGCAGAGCAGGCAGAAAGCAGCAAAGCAGCAGTGATCCTCCCTTTTCCTTTTATCCCACTCAGGCTACAAGCCTGTTGGCTGGTGCCACCAA